GACTTGCTTCGCTTGGTCCTCGAGAAGAAAATGAAGCAACTATAGGAGCATTTTTATCTCCAATTACAGTTCCATGGAAGGTGATTGCAGCAACAGGATTCGACGTTGAGTTTATGTAAGCAAGAATTTTCTTTCCATCTACATCTGAAACATCCAATGCTGGAAGAACATGAGCTTCAGCTGATTTAGTGACACCATCTTCCGGATTATTGATGAGAATCATGCCAACACCTCCAGCATCCTTTACAACTTGTCCTTTATCAACCCTGCGAACGCCACCACCAACCAGGCACACGACTATCTTTCCTCTTATAGCAGGGTCAGTGAGTGATCCTGGTACACAGAAAGGGGCGTCAAATTGCTCATGTACTATCTTTTCAACATCAAATAGAGTGAAGAATGTTGAGTTTGATGTCTTTGGATGATAAGCAGATTCTCCTTCAAATTCTTCTTTATTTCCAAGCTTAACAGTGGCCTTTAGTTTTCTATCATGAGTGCTAGCGCCAACTGTGAGAATCCAAGGGGCGTCATTTGCTACAGTGCGTTGGGATGGACCACTATTGCCTGCAGAACAACTAACAAGAATACCTCTTTCTGTTGCACTATACGCCCCAAGAGCAATCTTGTCATTATGGAACGGATTACTAGTTCCACCAAGGGATATTGATAGAATATCTACCCCATCATCAATAGCTGCATCCATCGCAGCTAAAATTTCAACATCAGAACAACTGCCATCAGAATCGCATACCTTATATATGGCTATGTGGGCAAGAGGGGCAACACCAACTGCAGTTCCATTGGCATTCCCAAATACATTAGCACCTTTCACAAAGGCTCCTGCAGCTGTGCCTGCTGTATGCGTACCATGTCCATTTTCATCTATGGGAGAACCATTGGTAAGTGGGAAAGACCTGGCTCCAATGAGTTTGTTGTTACACTTGGTCGTGAAATTAGACTCACAAAATCCTTTCCATTTAGCAGGCGGAGGAGGCATCCCAACGTCGCTAAATGAAGGATGGTCAGGAATAATTCCAGTGTCCAAAACTCCGATGATCACGCCTTTCCCATAGTTGGAATCCTTCCACAAGCCCATGTTCTGTTGCAAACCAAGAAAACTTGGAGTATGAGTAGTGTGCAAGGACAATATCCTCTGTGGCTCTGCAGAAACAAAGCCTTGTTTCTTCTCCATTTCCTTCACTTGTGTTGTAGTTAATCTAGCTGCAAAGCCTTTCATCACATTGTGATAGGAATAGACCATTCTCGGCTCTTCATTTTCCCTTGAGCTAATTGATGTGGTTTTAGGCAAAAAAGAATGGTAATAGCTCTCTAAATCCATTGATGATGATTGAGTAGAAATTTGGCTTTCTGGTGCTTCAACTTGGACTATATAAGTTTCTAAATCACTCTGGAAACTAGGCAATGGGAAAGAGCAAAAAATGCAAAATAGAAGGATTTTCAAGAATCCCATAGCTGCAAATTAATACAAGAACTGATGTGTTACTTGGATAATGAATTTGATGAACTTTTGAGTTTTTCTGCTACTATATATAGTACTTTGTCTTTGAGCTATTCACTTTCATTTTTATTTTGCTCCACTTGCAATAAATTAATTTGATGAAGTAACTTTATGAAGCTTATTAACTTTAGTTGAACTGTTTTAGTCCACTTGCTGGCCCTTATTTTGGTTAGTACCATTATTGTGGAATATGAATTTGTGGGGAAGATAAAGACAACGAAAAGAAAGGCCTCTATTGTGAAAGAGACTAGACTACAATTGTTGAACTATATTCTATAAATTCATTTTTATCTTCAATACTTGTGAATGTATTTGATTATGATATAATAGAAAAGCTTAAGTTGGTATAATTTCTGTGAAACATATCACATATTTTAGAATTGCTTTTTTTTCTTTTTTCTTTTGTCACACAAACGTATCTTGAAAAATATCCTATTACAATTTGAATGGAGGAAAATGACTCTACAAAGATCTCTATTTAAACATCTCTTCTATTAATTTTCTTATTGATCCAGCTTAAGAAGGATAATATAACTAAATGAACATTTGTAATAGACTGTAAAACTAACCTTTACCGCTCTTGAATGATAAAGTTGGAATCGTTTCTACTTTAAACTAAAAAATTCAAATTCGGCAAATAGTATAATTTACTTTAATCATATCCCATTCTTGACCCATTTTTGTTATGCCAAACCAAATAAGTGTTAGATCGAAATAATATGGTGCAGGCGGAAGATAACAATGAGACCTACATTAATTTACTATAAAAGAAAAGGAACTTATATTGAGAGAGAAAAAATCTCCCCCTAAAAAAATTGTCTAAAAGGCTACATTGTGGATATTATTATTGTTGTGAGAAACAAAAATACTCAATTTATAAAAGTGTAAAACTTCTCTTTCAAAAAAAGGATAAGGCATATTAGGGAGACTTATTTTTTTTAGAATTCTTTTTCTCTTCTTCAAGAAAGAAGTCCTAATAGATTAAAAATTCAGGGCAAAAACAATAAGACGACCTAAATTGGAACCAAAGTCTTCAAAAATCTCTCTTTACGGATTCTTTTTTTTTCCTTGTTCCATATTCGGTACTTGGTTTAGGATCGTGATGAAAAATTTCGCTTTGGGGATCAAAGCGCTCCCTATAAAAAAAACGACTTCATTTTACTAATTACTTATAGCTCTCTACTTCATAGTTAAATTGGAGTTTGTTATAGAATTTTCATGAAATACTCATCATTCATCAATACCTTAAAATGGTTTTCGAGAATGTTGTTTCGGAGTAAAATTCTTTTCTGATTCAATATTTCTTGTTCACACCACGGAATCAATTGTACATTTCTATTAATGAATATGGAAATTTTTTTTTTTTCATTTTTTTTTGGCACATATGATATATATATACAGTTTAACCCGTTGGAACTACAGTGCATCAGCGTCTTATGAGAGTTAGCAGATCTCTCTTTAAAAGATGCAGAAAATATCAAACAACCATGCCTTCAGCTAAATTCTGAAATGGAACGAAATCCTAGTTTTCTTTTTAACAAAAAAAAATTAAAAGAAGAATTAGCTTAATAAGGAACTGATTAAATTCAAAACCTAAAAGAAAAATATATATCACCCAAACCAAATATCAACAAAAATTTTTTTTATTAAATGTCCCATAGTAATAGGACGTTGACGCCTGACGTAATGGGTAAACGAAATAAATTGTAGAAACCCTACGAAGGTTGTGGGAAGATGTTATGTATTTAATTTCGATAGAAAAATACTTTATAACATGTTGCCCACTTGTGAATTATACGGAGCCAAGTATTTAATAGGAAGACCAAGTCCAATTTCCATTTAAGGATTACTTATTTTTTTCCAAAATAAACTTTATATATTCCAATCGATATAAAATATTAGAAATCACAATTCTAATGGTTTTCAGATATTTAACAAATATCTATAATAAATAATTGAATTTTGATTTTCAACCTCTAAAGAAATTCCATTGACAAGAACAAGAATAAGGGAAAGCATTGCTACTAACTGTATATGGCCCGTTATTTACTAGTGCCATTACTATCTTTAAAAGTGTGAACAACTTAACGTGCTACTTGTCCCACAAGAATAAGAAAAATAATATAGTAAAGATGTGTGTATAGGTCAAAGTTGAGCTCGACTACAACTTGGTAGATTAAGCTTGGAACGTGGGGATCAAGGACTGAAGATCGACCTCGAGTCCCACCGAGTTAGAACCCGAGGTCACATAGACTGCCTTCCATGAACATTGAGTCCGGTGTCGACCTTAGCCATGACCGAGCTCGGTGAAACATTATTGAAATAACTAATAGAAGACCGAAATATCCGTGACCAGTCGGATATTACAGCGGAAATCTCGGCACGAATCAATAAGGAACCGGCAATCAGCGAATCAAGAGATCTTTTATCTTTTATATAATTGTACCTAAAGTAGAATTCCTGTACTATATAAAGAGAGGTTTGATTATTCATTGGACACATTGTAACACGCATCCCAAAATAATTTTTTTTTTTTTTAAGTTCTTATAATTCTCTTGTTGTTCTCTTCTGATATCAATTAAAGCACTTTTGACTCGAGAGTGGCTAACCTTCCAAGGCTAAGACTATCCAACTTGCGTGGTTTGCAGTTACTTTTCCATTGCTTATTTCAATTGCAATATGATTTATCATTTTGTATCAAGTTAAATCTCGTATCCTTAAAACCACTTACAAATTCAATTGTTATCCGATTTTAAGGGTAAACAGTTTGGCGCCCACTGTGGGGCTAAGGATAATAGTGGTTATTTGATATAAATCTCCATAACATACACTACTTTACACTTGTTCTTTGAAGTGTCTCTAATTTCAGGTTAAAATTCGAAATATCGAACTCTCAATCAGCACCCCTATATGTTGACAACGAGTCCGGTCATCATGGAAAAAATAACAACATAGCGACCGATGACGAAGTACCGCCCGTTGATCCCATCGGAATTTCGGTCGCATACTTGATTGACGTTAATTCACATGTGGCTATCGACGCGAACTTGCCTACTGACCCCGAGAATAGCGTCTGTGGTGGAGCCTGATCGATAACTCAAAACACACAAAACATTGGAGGAGACGGGATCAGTTTACGGGTGATCTTCGAAATGCTGCAGGCTCAACAGAAGGCGATAGCTTAGTTACATAACCAAAGTCGTGCACCAAGCAGGGTTGAACCCGATCACAGAAAGGTCAAATGGGCATGAATCGGGGACTAACCCCGAGATCATAAAGATGCTCGAAGAGCTAACAAAACGGATAGAATCAGGGGAGAAGAAAATCGAAGTTAATGACAAAAAGGTGGATACCTACAATTCTAGGGTAGATCAAATCCCACGAGCACCGCCAATATTGAAAGGCCTGGATTCCAAGAAGTTCGGGCAAAAACCTTTTTCCTCCGAGCGCGGCTCCGAAGCCGAAGTCACCCGCAGGGATGAACCGGTCACAGAAAGGTCAAATAGGCATGAATCGGGGACTAACCCTGAGATCATAAAGATGCTCAAAGAGCTAACAAAACGGATAGAATCAGGGGAGAAGAAAATTAAAGCTAATGACAAAAAGATGGAGACCTACAATTCCACGGTAGACCAGATCCTAGGAGCACCGCCAATATTGAAAGGCCTGGATTCTAAGAAGTTCGTGCAAAAACCGTTTCCTCCAAGCGCAGCTCCGAAGACGATCCCTAAGAAATTCTGCATGCCCGAGATTGCTAAGTATAACGGAACAACCGACCCAAATGAGCATGTAACCTCTTACACATGTGCCATCAAGGGAAACGACTTGGAGGATGATGAGATCGAATCTATCCTGTTGAAGAAGTTCGGAGAGACCATGTCAAAAGGGGCTATGATATGGTATCACAACTTACCTCCTAATTATATTGATTCGTTTGCTATGCTTACGGATTCTTTCATGAAAGCACACACCGGGGCCATCAAGGTCGAAACCAGGAAATTAGACCATTTCAAAGTAAAACAGAAGGATAAGGAGATGCTCAGAGAGTTCGTGTTCCCGGTTTCAAATGGAACGAATGGACCTGCCACTTGTCACTGATGATTGGGCCGTTTAGGCATTCACCCAGGGGCTCAATGTTCGAAGTTCGGTGGCTTCACAGTAGTTGAAACAAAACCTGATAGAATATCCGGCCGTTAGCTGGGTCGACGTACATAACCGGTATCAATCAAAGATCAGAGTGGAAGATGATCAACTCGGTCCCCCTTCGGGGTCTGTTTATCCCGTCAGAAACATCGACAGAGTCAAGAGAGACATCAATCGTGAACCGAGACCAACAGGGATTGGTACCAGCCATATAATAAAAACCGAAGAAGTAGTGGGTCCGAGCGGAACTCTATGAGAAACTAAAGGAGAAGTGACAGAGGTCAGAGCAACCGGGGACTCATGAGCAAAAACAGCTACCGCCGGGCCTAAAGAAGCATCGAGGTTATCGGAATACAACTTTAATGTCGATGTTACCGCCATTGTATCAGTTATCGGACGCATCAAAGATACCAAATGGCCTCGACCTCTATAATCTGATCCAACCCAAAGGGATCCTAACCAGATATGTAAATATCACGGCACTCACGGCCACAGAACGGAGGATTGCCGACAGCTGAGAGAGGAAGTAGCACGACTATTCAACAGTGGGCATCTATGAGAATTCCTGAGCAACCGAGCCAAGAATCATTTCAGGAATAGGGAGTCTAATAAACAGATAGAACAAGAAGAATTTCAACACGTCATTAATATGATCATTGGTGGAGTCGATATCCCTCAGGGGCCGATGTTGAAACGCACCAAAGTGTCCATCACAAGGGAGAAATGAACTCGAGACTACGTACCCGAAGGAACCATATCTTTCAACAACGAGGACATAGAAGGGATCGTGCAGCCCCACAATGATGCACTGGTAATATCTGTACTCATAATTAAAATTCAATTTAAACGTGTGTTAATTGATCCAGGTAGCTCGGCCAACATCATCCGATCGAGGGTCGTGGAGCACCTCGGTCTACAAGATCAAA